TTTTTAATTTTTTCAGCCAAGAAGAAACCTAATCTTAAAAATTAAAAAAATAGCTTCAGTTTCCTAAAACTACAAAGAATCAGATAGTCAAGCTTATTGTCATGTTTTTATACTTGATTTAACAATACAAAATATTTTTCTCAAAAATTTTTGTTATTGACTCAATTTTGTATTCTGTTGTTTCATTTTGCACAATTTCCATTTATTCTGTCGAGTAATCACACGACTAATCGGCCATTTTACGATCGTACGCAACGAAGCTCGGTGTGCATCGTCGCGAGTATGTATCGTAATAAACGCTAGCTGAAACATGGCGCCGATTATTCACGAGATATATAAACACCTGGGACGCGAGAACACCACTGGATCGTCGCCAGTGTATTCCATTAGCGATCGCGCGGTTGTAACGACCGCGAAAAAAAACTTTCACCACGTTACTCGGGCGACGATATCGTGAAATTCCGCGCGGCAGAGCGTAGTGCATTGAACCGCGCGCGCGCGCACGTCACCTGTAACTTTTCTCGCCAATTCGATGATGCAACGAACGCTCCGTTATACTGAGTCAACAGAACGCTGCTCGTTCAGATCGCTGTGTTCAGAAACGAGAAAATAGTTCGTGAAGTGCGAAGAACGGCGAACAACGTGCAGCGAAACGATGTGTTCACACAGCTCAAAAACTCGTATCTGAATATGTCTCTTGGTGAATGAAACGATCACTTTCCTTTCGAGCTTTATCGGACAAACCAGCAGTTATTAGCGAGTTATTCATGAACTTCAGTACGACCCCCAAAGGACTAAACTCATCAGGAACTTCAGCAGTAATTCAAATTATCCTTGCTCCTAAAAGTCGACGTAATAATTGCTAAACCAGATATCCCGCCCTGTTATTATATACAGTCTACATTTTCCTTAACAGTAGAACTACCGACGAGAAAGTATAATATTTATTGCAAAGAAAGTCAAGCGCAAGGTATAAGAAAAAGTTGATGATGCAACAAAGGATACAAGCTTTTATTGATATATTTTATTCAGTCACTCGAGTATAAAATACACTGCTGTAAATATGTAAAATTCCCGTTGAAAAGAAATTTGGTAAATTAGTTTAGAAATTTGGTAAATTAGTTTAGAAATTTGGTAATTTTGGTAGTTCAACTTTGATAGTTCTAGTTTTAAAGACTGTAACCTTAATGTATAAAAATTTATATCATAATAACTGTAATAAATCTCAGATCTCATATCTACCGCAAAGAAAACAACTCAGAGTGAAACCCACCCTAAAAAATAACCTAATGGACAGTGAATCATCATCAAGCCTAATACAATATCTGAAGCTCACCAAGATCTATAACAACATATGAAAAATCCCTCTTTCTGATGTCGCTAATAACCTACGAAGTTGATGCGACATTAAATAACTGATTTAAAAAAAAGAAAAAAATCTCAGATGAGATTTTCAAAACATAAATAGAAGAAAAGGAAACGCAATGCTGTTTGTGCTCGCAAGCCCCGAACTATTCAGTTTGGAACTGAAAGTTCTCGCATTCACACTGCTGTTGGCGAACTGTAACCTAATCGTAGTGCCAATAGTAACGTGAACACGCGGCATTGCAGCAATCGTCGTTGAACCAACGAACAGCTGGAATGTACTGAGAGCAACGAGCTGACAAATTTTCATTTCAAAAGTTTCGTTGGGAACAGAGTTTTAGTGATAGTGTTGGATAAAGTTGTAGAAGAGTGTGTCTCGCGGCGAGACGGATAATCACACGTCTACGTTGCAATTAGATCCGATTTACATATTTAAATATTTGAAATTTAAAATCGAAATTCAAAATTCAAAATATTCAATACTTAAAATCCAAATTCTGTGAAACAAAATCGTGAAGGCAAGAAACTGGGTTCGTTTTGAAGCTTTGAGTGCTCTACCTTCAAAATTCTAAATCTAAATACTAAATACCAAATACTATAATATACTATTATGTAATACTAAAAATATTATAATATTATTGTAATATAGTAATATTGTAATATTACAATATTATAATATTATAATATATAATAAAAATATTATAATATACTATACCATATACTATAATATATTATAATATATAATACTAAAAATATACTATAATATACTATACTATATTGAATATTGTACTATATAAAAATATACTAAAATATACTATACTATATGTAACCAAATGCTAAATACCAAAAAAGGGGGAAGTGAAGATACATTTCTTCTTTCTTCTTTTCTTTCAAGATACTTTTCTCCTTTTAATTTAAAATGTCATAAATTGTAGCAAGTGCGTAAAAAGTTTTTTTCACTACTAAATTCCACGAAGCAATGACCTCCTGAAACTTCGTGCACGATTACTTTTCGTCATTTTATCGAACTTCGAACGTTGGGGAACGTTAGACGACGAAAATTCAAGGCATCGTCGATATTTCGTCGTCGAACCCCAACATTCAAAGTTTAATGAAATGGCGAGGGAAAAATCGTAGTGAGTTTTAAGGGGATTCTTGTGAAGAAAAAGTTTCAGTTTTCAAGTCCATGGTGAATATACTCGCGAAAAAAAAAAAAAGAAAATTGTTTGAACGCTTTATTGAATTTTTCAATAAAGTTTCACTGAAAATAAACTTTTTCAATAAAGAAAGCATCCTCGTTGCACGATGTAAAATCATCTTGGAACAAAATGTGTTTTGAGTATAGGCTAACTCTAAGCTTCAAAATGAGCTGACTAATAAATCAGATTTATTATGGCTGTACGATTTCTCTCGACGAAGCTGCCACTGTTACAGTAATGTACGTGTAAATGTACGTGAAATTTCGTACGTTGACGAAGGAGACGACGAGACAGCGAAATCGAGAGCGTTTCCACGCACGTGCTCGTAAAACGCGTAACGTATAGGGGTATAACGGTCGTTTAACGATGGTCTTGGGCGTTCTCCAACCCCTTGGACAGGGGTCGATCGAAGGACGCAGCACAGGCGAAAGCGCGAGGCACGAATCGTTGGAAACCCGCCGGGAGACGATGGCGGAGGTAATAAGAATTTACTTCGTCGATATTTCACTCTTCCTTTTCCTTCGTGTCTCGCGTCCCCCGTGTCGCCTCGTGTCCCGACGGTTTGCCTTACATAAAGGGAAAGAGAAAAAGGCCGATCGATACGGCGATGCCTTGCATTGCAAATATTTGATGGACGGCTGTGCGTGTCGCGGTTGCGCCACAGCTTCTCGAACGGAGGATTCACTCAACGACGAAGAGTATCATATAGGAGGGTGATCGACCTGTTAGGTTAATCTAGATCCCGTCACGGTCTCGTCGCCATCTCAGCGCTCGTTCGACGTCTCGTGGATCGTTGGTTAATCGCGAGAGGCGGATCTATCGATGTCGATACGTCAAAGTCGACGTAGAGGGACGTGGTGGCAGTCGGTTATTGTTCCAGCGACCTTCTAACCTGGATAACCTGACAGACTGGTCGTTAGATGTAGCGAAGATTGATTGAAGATCCAAGCGCGAAGGGATGAACACGGATTCGCAATAAATTTATGAATCTGCGTGAACCACTGTTGATTCAATCTTGACCATATCGTAGGATAAGATAAACGTTGGAATTCCGCAATTCCACGGGGAGAGAGTTGTGTTTCCACCGGGGTGGAAACTCAATATCATCCCCGGTCTGGACAGACGGTATCGTACGTCTCAGTTTACCAGAGAGCGGATCGATACACGCTGCTCAAAAAATATCCGTTTTAATCCAATCCCCTTGACCATTAGTTTCATTCGACGATCGCCGATTATTTCGACGCGTGTGCGTATTCGAGACGAATTCGATAAAAGGGGAGTAAATTGCTACGATCCACGCGATCAACAATTTCTGATTTTAGTTGGTTGACTCGCTGGTGCGTGAGAAAATTTTGAATATTCAATAATGATATTGGTCTACGAATGGGAGATTCAGTCTTTCGTCTCTTCGCTACGGTTCTTTGCATGGTCGGAAACTACGTCGACGAGCGAAGGATAGTGATTTTAGCCCGTGTTTCCTCTTTATACTTGAAATTGATTGAAAACTAGAGAACGCACTTTGCGAGAAAGCTCGATTCGATTTTAGTAGGTTCAGCAGGGAATTTCTCATTCGTAATGAGAGGAAAAGGGAAAGAAATTTAGTTGGTCAAGCGGGAAAAACCACGGACGAGAACCGAGCTCGTTGTACGAATAATATTTCATATTATTTCTTTCGTTTCATCATAGTGTTACGTTCGTAAAGAGAGAATTGAATTTGAAAATTCGTTCATCCGTCGAATGGTTAATTCTAAACGAACGTGGAAATATCGGAATTTATAAATAATCAAAATTTATAAATAATCGAAATTTATAAATAATCGAAATTTATAAATAATCGAAATTTATAAATAATCAAAATTTATAAATAATCGAAATTTATAAATAGTAATGGAAATATCGAAATTTATAAATAATCGAAATTTATAAATACTCAAAATTTATAAATAATCGAAATTTATAAATAGTAATGGAAATATCGGAAATTATAAATAATTTACAATTATAATAATTTTATAAATAATTTATAATTATAATAATTTTATAAATAATTTATAATTATAATAATTCTATAATTATAAATAATTTATAAATGTAGCGAGGAAAATTGACCAAATAAGTAGAAATTGATACCAAAAAGAAAAAAAAGAGAAGAAAAAAAGGAATCATCTATCTACATAATGTAAAAAGGAATTTTAGTCATCTGTCCTCGCCAGTTAATCTGCTTGAAGTTCCACCAACCACGGGCGCTCTCTTTCCGACACGTTGCGTCCATTTTTTTTTTTTTTTTTCTTTTATCTTTCAAACCGCCCAGGGGGAATGAAACTGCGTCGAAAAAGAGAGACGAACGAAAAGGCAGAACCTTCTCGGATAATTACCGCGGTACATCAAACGCGTTGTTAAGCGACAGGACGATTGGACAGGAGAGTTACGACTTACGAGAAAATCGACGGGGTCGTCAGGACGCAAATTCGCAACTTCGACGAGTCCCTGCGTCAACGTTGGGAATACGTATTTCATCAAATAGTGGCGCAGCGGCAGGCCAGCCAAACAGAGGCTCTCCTCTTCTTCTTCCTTCAGCTTCTCCATCAGATTCGTCTGAAAGAAAAACGAATCGTAATTATCTTCTTTACGATGGAAAATATTTAAGTAATATTTTAAACATTTCATTAATATTTCAATAAGCAAGAAGAAATTTCCTGCGGTCATAAACGTGGTACGTATCGATACTTAGACGTGAAATATCTCTGCTATATTCTACGACGCAATCTTTATTAGAGACATAAACAGCAAGAGAACAACCTCCTTTCTTGCTTATTTTTGCCCCGAGCATCTTTCCAGAAAAAAGAAGACCGTAATGATAATAAATTACCTAGTTCCTTCTCGTATTGTTATTCTCATCGCTGACTCGTTCGAAAAGTAACTTCTCAATTTTTTTGCGACTAATGATCCGGAAGAAATGCCATCTCGCTACTTTTACGTTTTAATGCGCGCATTGCGCATAAATCAATCATTATCGACGACAAATGAAACGAAACAGATGAGAACTGCGCCTTCACTGGATAGGTTAATACCGAGTCGACAAGCTCGAATTAATCGAGCGTCAATAAATGATATTTTCATGAAAGAAACGGCAGGTGAAACGTGTTTGAAAAACCGAATTAAACGTGAATTAAAAACGAGCGTTATAAAGACAAATATATTCATATAAAATAGCGTGTATTTACAACACACAACGTGCTTCAATAAAAAAAAAAAAAAGGAAGAAGTTAAAAAATATATTCTACAAAGTAGTTTAAAATTATAGACAAACATGGAGACAGGTTTCCCGCTTCGCTTGTTCTTGCGTTTTCAGTTTATGACATAACAGTTTAGAGCTGTCGGTAACTTTGCTCTAAGATTTATTTTTTAAAGCAAGAAACAACAACGGCGGATTACCGTAAATGACTTTGTGAACGAACGTGAACTCGCAGTGCAGGAGAGGGATTTAAAATGGAAATTATCCGGGGCGGGCGAAGAGTCGACGTCGAGAGCGTCTCAACGACTCGAATGAATTAAATTAAAGAAACAACGACTTCCGATGGTAAAACGACACTAGAACTGGAAGAAAACGGCTGCAAGGCGCGACTCGAATAATCCTTACCTGTCTGGTTAATGGAAAACGACGCAGGGACAAGAGGATCGATATAAATACGATTCCGGTTCATCCATCGTGGCCAGTTTTTCATTTTGTTTCTTTTTTTTTTTTTTTTCTTCCGTTAACTTCGTTCGAGGTTATCGATTTGTTCCTCCTTTACCGCGAGATACAACCTAGTGTCCCTTAAGCTTTTTTCACAATGGAAAGCATTTCGTTCTTTCAGTGGAAAGTATCTTTTATAAACGGAGGGACAAAAGCGACACAGAACAACGCAGAGAACTTTTGAGAAGCCGCGTCCCACGTAATTTCGTATTGCAAGAGACAAGAGACAAATTTCATTTGTTGATCCATTTGCGCCAAAGATCCAACTGGATGGCGGATCACGGCCGAAAGATTAAAAGAGAATTAGGATTATTTTCGAACGACAATTATAACGAGATACAATCCGAGTATGATAGACATCGTTTCGAAGAAAGTTCAAATATAACCTCGGATATCAATCAGAGGAAGTTTGCTTGCTTTCCCGAGCGACGCCGTCCTAACTAAACAGAGCATGATACTCTAATCGATCGTAACTTTCGACGGGCGTGTTACACGCTGCCAGATAAAACTTGGCGAACTTGATTTCGCTTGAGTTTTAAATCAGAGTCTCGATCCATCGAGAAACTTTCTTCCTCTTCACATCTTCGTCTAACCTAAACCTTCGCCGACGGATAAATCATAATTAATTAACGTTCGAGACAATAATTTGAATATGATATATAGAAATGAATGTGTGAAAGTATATAGCATCACATTTTTAGATCTGCTTTTCAAAATATTTCAAAACTTTTTACAAACGATCGATCATCTCGAGGATTCTTTGTAGAATTTTCGTGAGAATTTTTTTTTTTTTTTTTTTACAAACGTTTCGTTATTTTTTACGATTTCAATCGAAAATTATCTTTAATATCACGCAACGTCGCTTCAAATTGTTCAATGTTCCATTGCGGATGGCAGTAACGCGGAACGTGAAACGAATTATCCACGATTCATGTGGTGAATTTGACTTCCCGATTTTCATTATCCATTCTATTATCAACTCGAAACGATAAACTCTAACCCATTCTTCCATCTTCTTCTCGCGTAGACGCCTGCGTTCTAAGAATTCCCTTTGTTCTTGCAATTTCACGGCGGCTTCGGTTGCACGTGCTTCTGCCTCGGCGCGCTTTCGTGCATCCCTCGCCTCCTCTGCGGTTAACCCTAATGGAGTAAGAAACGTAATAGAAAATTGTGCCGGTGCACTCGCTGTGACAAATACCGGGGAGGAAATTTATGTTAAACACGACCGGGAACGAAACTGAAATTTAATATTCAACGAGAAACATTCGCACGACTGAGGTGAAATTGAATTAACATACATGAAAATGTAAATGACAGTGGCGGGTCCGCGGGTAATGGACAGGGAGGATGTCAAGTTTCGGCATTCCTCGGGAAACGGAGATTAAAACAAATGCAAAATCCAGGATTGCAATGCGACGTGGTAAGGAGCATTCGAGATTTATTTAAAGAAAAATATCGAACTTAAAAATTTGTTGAAATGTGTCAAAGTGTGTTAAATTAAAACGAAATTTAATTTATTATTTTTATTTTTATAAAGAAATTTAATTCATTATTTTTATTTAATTTAATTTAATTTATTATTTTTATTTAATTTAATTTAATTTATTATTCTTATTTAATTTAATTTAATTTATTATTCTTATTTAATTTAATTTTATTTATTATTTTTATTTAATTTAATTCATTATTTTTATTTTATTATTTTTATTTTAGAGGATACTTTATTATTTTTATTTAATTTAATTTAATTTATTATTCTTATTTAATTTAATTTTATTTATTATTTTTATTTAATTTAATTTTATTCATTATTTTTATTTTATTATTTTTATTTTAGAGAATACTTCTAAAATATATCATCTTAGAAGTTGAAGTTAATGTTGCCTTAATAATTTAACCTTCGCTGTACGAAAAACATTGTTCAGACGTGTCTCAGATGACCAGTCACCAAGCTCTGTATTCTTTGCGTGAATTTAGACGTCTAGAAGGGACATTTATACATTTTTTTACGCCAAGCGAACAAATCCCCGTGCGCAGAGAAACGACCGGACAAAATTGTGCAGAATCCTACAAGACAAGCTACCCTAATAGATCTTTCTTTTTTTTTTTTTTCTGACGACGACGAGAAAACGTTCTTTCGTCCCGAACAGATGATAAACGACGAATTTGACGAATGTGAAAGGTGTGTCTCACCGTAGTTTCTCGGCGGGCCAATTCTTTGGAGACACTGATAAATCGTAGGGAACATGTCGGGGCAAACGTCGTCTTCCACGTCGATGATGAACGGATGAATTTCAATTTCGTCGAAAAAGTTCAAGGGCGTATTATCTTCGGTGTTTCTTTTTCTGAAATAAGAAAAAAAAAAAAAGAAAAAAAATTGATGGAAACGCTACAGTCTGAAAATTTATACGACTTTTATTGCTCTGAAAAAAAGATTGAAAATTATGGATTCTCCGATGTAATAGCAATTTCCTGTAATTCTTGCAAAAAATAATCATCAGTCGAACAGCCACGAATTTTCTGGTTTAATAATGACACCTGTCGCGCGACTTGAAAACATTTTCTACCGCATCGAAAAATATCGCAGAATCTGAAACTCGACGTAATATTTCAAACAGAGATAGTAAATTTCTGTTTTGGCGGTCAATTTCTTCAGATAATGCACAGTATGAATGAAGTTATTACAATTTGACGCACGACGTCACCGTTTGTCATTAATTCAAAGACGAGTCGAAAAAGGTTGTTAAAATTGTTCCTGTTTTTTTTTTTTTTTTTTCAAATCTACCTCCGTGAAATCCTACGATTACAACGTAATCTATCGAGCACGTGATTCCTCGCGAACAACTCTGAATTTTACAAGAGCAAATCGCACTTCGACTAACCCTCCTATTAACTCCGTGATCTTGCATTATCGACAAGACATTATTCGAACGATGGTGTTCGCATACGGTTACCTATACTCCTTCAAACGGCGCATCATGTGCTCCTCCGTGTAATGGGTGCCCTGAATCTCTCTCTCAGGTCGTTGAATAATCCTTTCCTTCAGAAACTCGTCGCCAGCTTCCAACGACACCACCAACTCGGGCATGATCGACACTGTCGTTTCTATCTCGGTTTCTTCGTCTTTGAGTTCCTCGTCGAGCTCGTCCACGTTTTCCCCGGCGAACAATGCCTTCGCTTGTTCCAACGTCTTCGGATGGCCGTCCATGACGTAGCCTTGGTTCGAGCATTCCTTCGACCGTAACTTCCTCAGGAACAATCTACGAGAGGATTACGTCATCCGTTATTCCGCGATAATAACAGTAAAGCGGATCGATAGTAATTACAGCGTTAACCTTTTAGCTCGAAGACTATCGCTCGACTGCGGACTTTTGTGCATTTTCAAACACTCGGGAGCAAATAATTGAAAGAGATGCTTAATAAAACTACTCGAGGTACTTGATACTAGAGATACAGGGCCACTGAAAAACTGAATGGGTTTGAAAGAGTCGTAACTTGTTCATTTTAAATCTTTTTTATTTTCATTTTCTTTTTTCTGTAGATTATAGAAAAAAAATCTATTAATTATATTTCCAAATAAAGTAATAAAAAATTTTAAAAAACATGTGTTTGTGAACGTTATTCCTGTTTTATAACAATATTCAGTCTTTCAGCCAGACCACCTTATACCTAATGGAATAAATAAAATAAATAGATAGATACATAAATATAAAATACAAAATAAATAGATAGATATACAAAGAATAAATAGATATATATATAACTATATATATATAATATATTGTTATATATAATATATATATAAATATATAAAGAATAAATAGATAAACAATTTTTTCTTCCATTAAATATTATAATAAATATTTCTCTCTCTACATTCTCGGATGTTACGCGTATGTGCATTATCGCATTTTCAAATTTTCCATAAATGCCAATTACCACGAACGATCTGACTTTATTAGAAATACGTTTAATTTTGTGAGAAAGTGTCGTTCGAAATGAAAGAAATGGAATTCCTCAGCCGATTATTGCAGACGTGCGAGAGAACAGATAATTCACGGCTGACGCGAGCTCGTTAACCAGAAAAGAAGATTTCATCGTAACCTTGATCAAGGAAAAGAATTGTACCGGTCTCTACAAGACAGACGTGATCATTTTTAGTTGGGATTACATGTTTCTCGTAGAAAATATCGTGTTATTGAGAGAGTGTGTATTAGGATGTATATCGTAATTTATTTTGTTCTACGTGTTTTGCTTCGAATACGAGGCGTCTCTTTGGAGGACGCGTATCATCCGATGTCTTTCATATTCTTGTTCATCTTGCGTCAAATCTAAAACGCAACGTCGAATGAAATCGAATAACAAAATGGGAAAATAAAATCGGAAACACGTTGGTATAACGTGAACCAATAAGGCTTTTCTTTTTTCGTTTCTAAAACGAACGCGGGATAGAAAATCAAAAGCCACCAAGAGTAACAAGATTATCTACGTCCTTTTGAAGATGTAACGTTGAACAATCGAACGTGTAGAACGTAATGTAGATAAATTACGCGACGCTCGCGAGAGATTCGTCTCGTATTTTTAATTTCCAATCTGTTTCCTCTTTTCATCCGAAACAATTCTCTTTGCCTTAGTACGCAATTCGCTGGTCAAACGTTTTCATTTATCCCCCAGCAACACGCGTTTCAACTGTTGAAATTTTTCCAGCTCGTTTCAATCGTCAGTCTCCTCTAGCATCTTTCTTGCGACTGTCGTTGCTCGGTTTCCAGTTCAGTTGAACCACGTTTAAACCCGTATTCGTACCAAAAAAAAAAAAAGAAAAGTTCTTAATAAAAAGCGTGGCTCGTTTTTGAAAGCTGATCTCACATTTGCGTTGGGCACGTGGACCTGGTTCCTCGATTTCTCAATTAAACCCGTATGAGATAGAAGAAAGAAAAGTGGAAGCCTCCAAGATCACACACGAATACCTCTTAAGCAAAACAGAACCACCTTTCTGCAACAAATCACCACCCAACAACTGCTACATGGATGCAGAAAATACCGAAAGAAAATAAGAAGTAAATACGAATTAAACCAAAATACCGTTTTAACTTGTCAGAAACCACCAAAAGACGTTATCAACTACCTAAAGAAGACCCAACTACTAGACCAGATATAAAGAGAAAATTCCAGCACGTCGCTAAAGGCCTCGTAGTCGATGCGACTCTAAATCCCCATATATATATATATATATATATATATATATAAAAAAGCGCAAGTCCTGCTTGGAAAGCTCGACAAAGCTTTTGACAGCCTTCCGCTCCCGTTACGCGGCTTTCGGTTGTATCGCGTAACGTCTCCAACGCGAAACATTTCAGCTTATCGCGTACACGAGTGTCCGAAATGACTCGCGAGTTAACGAAACCTACGCGGAAATTAATAAAATTCAACGTCCCTTTAACACACTGTCAAACCGGCCAATTATTTCGTAATTGAGTATGAAACAATCTAAATGAACTCTCAACATACTTTATTTATACAGAATGAATTTAAATGAAACTTTGTATATCCCTTTGTATGTATATTTACGTATAATATATATTATGTATATATCACGCATATATTTACGTATAATATATTATATATATATATATATATATATTACGTATATATTTACGTGTAATACATTATGTACATATTACGCATATATTTACGTATAATGTATTATGTATATATTACGCATATATTTACGTATAATATATTATGTATATATTACGCATATATTTACGTATAATATATTATATATATATATATTACGTATATATTTACATGTAATACATTATGTACATATTACGCATATATTTACGTATAATATATTATGTATATATTACGTATATATTTACGTATAATACATTATGTATATATTACGTATATACTTACGTATAATATATTATGTATTATGTAATATATTATTATATTATATGATATATTATTATATATTAATAAATATTAATATATATTATATGATATATTATTATATACTATAATATATTAATAAATATTAATATATATATTAATATATATTATAATATATTAATAAATGAAACTTTGTATATCCCTTTGTATGTATATTTACGTATAATATATTTCAATAATATTTTTTTGGTGTGATAAACTCTATAGCAATCATCTACGCGCAACGGTACACAACAGGTTTTCCAAATTTGGCCGTTTCAAATTTCGATTCCAATAATATCCGATTCATGCACTGTCTTCCGATAAACTATCAATCTCCACATCACTACGGTATATTTCAAAATCACTCGGGCAATCGGATGAAGCGTCAGAAAGTTTTTGTAACGCTAAAATTGTAAATTGCGAAAGAAAGAAAGAAAAACGTAAATGTCAGTAAAAGTAATTTTTTTCTTACATATAAAGTGAACACGGAGAAAGATTTTACTGTGAAAAATTGAAACACACAGTCGTCTCGTGACCGGTCAACAATGTATAAACACGCGTGACCTCTTTCTCTTTTTTCTTTTTCCTTTTATTTCTTTTTTATCGCGTACGCGTGTCTCTACTCTACTCGCTCGCGTGAAGTTTAATCCCGTTTATTAAGCCGCGCCGCCAGTCGCGTAATAAACGCGAGCATAGACCGCGAAGATTGCCGCAGGCTGGTCATACCGAATGCGCTTTAGGTTGTTGTTATTGGGTATGGGAAAATCGACACTTCTCTCGCGGCAAGCAATTACATTCGCTGATATACGCCGCGGCATTATTGTGTCGTCCGGCATCATTCGATATCCAATACTCTTGGAAAATAGGAAGGGACCCGAGCTTTCTAATCTCAGGAATTCAGTTTGCTCGTGGAGGAATGACCGGGAGGAGAAAACGTAATTGTAGCAGGACGGATGGGACGAATTTGTTAGGAAATTGCATTTCCATGCGAGTCATTGCGATGTAAAGTGATCTCGAGGAGCCATCTCGGCGAGTCGCTTCCGATAATTGCGCGATCTCGAGGTTAGAGAATCCGAGTGCAACCTCGCCAAGTGTGTATGTACGTTTAACTTGAGACCAAACTCGATTAAACTGAGCTAGAAATAGATTCTACTGCGCGATCTTGTTATCCACACAATTCTACACGTGTCTCTCCGCGCTGCTCTTCTCAACGACCAAGTCCACATTGTTCGCACTTTCTTTTCTCTCGATGCACATCCTCGTTGCCATTCGTTCTCTTCCTCTATCACACTCATGTTAATGTTACGTCTTATTGCACTATTACGTCGCTTTATTACTATATTAGATTATTTTGCAACCTTAAGGGGGCAGGACAGTTTTTGGCGGCCTAAAAATTACGAATACTTTGGAAGGCTAGTAAAACAAAAGTACATATTTTTGTGGTTTATTTTGACACGTTATGAGCTGTAAAAAGCAACATTAAAAAAGAAAAAAAGAGGCCTTTTATTTAGCTTTTTTACATTGCCTATCGGTGTGCATGATTCCAGCCAAACAGGATTAACTGCAACGAAAAGGCAAAAAAAAGTTCAAAAGTAAACAATATTCTCCAGGGATTGACGATCCAGCATTTTCATTTTTGTGAAAATTATGAAAATAGCAGCTACTTGTTTTTGATGTATCGAATTTATGCCAGAAATTTCTATAATTTTTGGTTTATATTTTTTGAAATTGTTAAAAATTAAAAAATGTTCGATCGTCAATACCTAGTAAATGTTACACTAAAGATACCAAGTTTAGCAGTAATCGGTTGGTTCGATTCCGAGATATCTTGCACACTGTTTCTAAAAACCGAGTTTCGAGAGAAACACGTTTAAAGTTTCAGAACGTCATTTTTCATATGTATCCTTTACTTATTTTTTTTACTTATATATCGCGGCTCACAGTTCTTACAATTCACAACTAAATTGAATCCAAGTCGCCTGATATTCGATTCGCCAGAAGTAATATTCGAATCACACGATTTACACTTTATAATACTGCTTAAAGTTGTAAACAGTGATACAAATTCAATTATTCTATATCTACGGATTTACTATTATATCTCAAAATGAATCGTTTTAAAAGCTAGGACCTTTTGTATCTAATTTCTAAGACTTCAAACTATTTAAAACAAAACAAAAAATCGATTTTTTGAAAATTTGAAACTGTCCTGACCTTTTAAGTTCACAAACTTGACCCGCACTAAGTTTCAGCACGATCGATCAATTTTTTATCACGCACAGATAGAAAGAATGCTCCGAAAGATTTACACACTTTTGTTCCG